TAAAGGACTCGCGTACAAGCTTTGATTGCGATCCAAACTCATGTGTATTGCTTAGAGTCTTTGACTGCCACAGCGTCTCTAGGAGGAGGGGTTCTGGCAGGGTACGCAGCTGCACTTTAAGGCGATCTAATACAACCTGCGCGTTAAGAGGGACAAGTCCTGATGCCTTAAAGGCCTTATGACAGATTGCCTCTGTAAACATGTTACAAAACGCGTCTTTAAAGGCTAGTAGGAAGCCTTCTTTGTTAATGTGGAAGACGTGCTTGTGTGCTAAGTCTTGTACGCGCTGAGAGTACTTGCGCTTCAACAGCAAGAAGCAGACCACATTAAGCGGCTGGAGGATGTGCAACAAGTGAGGTGGCATGCAGAGGGTGAGGATCTTATGTTCAAGGCAGTAGTCCTTGAAATCCTAGTTAAGGTGGCTCTTATGGCCGTCCAAAATGAGCAGCCTGTACGCCCCTACCTAGCCTGCCTTTGTATGCGCGTTAAAGTGCTTCAACCACTCTAGACCAAGCGCATTGTTTGTCCAGCCGTTCTGAGAGACTGAGAGCTTCTAATTGCGCGGTATATCTGCCTCCTTGTACCAGGCAGAGATGTGAACGCGTCCTTTGTAGATGATAAAAGGTGGGGTACAAGATCTAGCAGCGTAGACACTCTGGATGACTGTTACCTATTTGCGATCACCTGGCTGAACAAGCTCAGGCTGAGTACGCCTCTCTGCGCCTGTGACAACCTTCATTAAGCCAATGACACCCATCTGGAAGCTAGTCTTATTGAAGTTGTGCACGTCGTAGTCGTGTACGCTGTACTTGGCTCTAGTGTCCTCTACCAGCTTAAACCACGCGCCAATTGTCTCTGGATCCTCCTGCAGTATCCTCTGCCTATCTTTAGCTCGATTGAAGGCCATCTTAAGCTCAGCTAAGCGCGTTACAAAGCGCTCAGCCCAGTGCTTGCCAACCGGCTGCCCACTGCGTACACCCAACACTTTATCAGCCATATCTGCTACCTCGCACAGCCGGGGCGCGAATCCTCGCGAATCCAGGTTAAGGATATATTGGACGATTGTTTGCTCTTCCATAAGCGTAAGTTTGCGGCCATTAGGTGCTTGTTTAAGGATAAACAGGGCTCCTCTGACGCGTGCAGAGAGAATGCGTTGTTTAATGTTAAAAGCGCGCGCAGCTGCTCTCTAGCTTTTAAATTGTTTTAAATGAAGAGCTTTAAGGGCAAGGTTAACTCTACCTTTGTGTTCACGTAGTAACGCGTTATGTGGTTGAGGCATGTTGCAACAAAGAGGGTGTTCGTTGTGCCAAGACATTTTGAGCTGTTGGGTGGTTTGAGCTGTTGGGTGGTGGAATACGTTATACAATCTAGCATTTGCTAATATTATATTTAGTAGAGGAAATTTATTTAGCCTGCTGTTTATAGTCTAGAGCAGTAACTTCTATTCCTATTCCTATGCCTTTCTTAATAGAAGAGGCGTCTGTGTATTGATTGATTGATTGATTAGTTTAACGTCCTGTGTGAGTCTAAGACTATATAGGACGAGAGCAGTGAGGCTGCTCTAGTAATTTACAAGTTTTTTCTATATAAGGGAATAGTATATATAGGTTTATAGATATATAGTGAGAGCCTGTGCTCTAGTTATAAACAAAGGAAATTAGTTGTCTGTTGTTTGCTATAGGTACTACTTGCGTGTGCCTACTTTAGTTTCTTAAATAAAAGCTAGTGTAGCTTAGATTCACCTGCTTATGTCTAGGAGAAGAGACATTATAAGTCTTGTCTCCTGTAGGCTGCTCTTTATTTTCTTTCTTACTTCTCTGTAGTTTCTATAGCTAAGTAGTAGGTTTTAAGGTGTTTGTGTATGTCCACAGCTACATTTAGAGCTTTCTATTTTTTGTATATTGTATAGGTATGCTTTGTTATATTAATGTCTAAGCTTTAGCTAGTAGTATGCGCGTGCAATTTCTCTTCTAGTGTTTTTTAGTAGTGTTATCTTGCTTATTAGCTTTAGCAAGAATCTTGCTGCATAGGTGCTAGGATTCCCTAAGCTTTGCTTTTATAGAGTAGGCCTAGAGTTTATGTTGCCACTCTTGTCTTGTAATAGCTTTAATCCTAATACCCGTCATTGCAAGGCTTGTAGTATTAGATACTAGTTGCTGTTTTGCAGCTTATTTTGCTAAGGAGTCTGCTTTTTTGTTTCCTGTGATATCTAGGTGTCCTAGGGCCTAGTGTAGGCTAATTGTTGCGCCTTTGCTGTGAATTATCTTTACTGCATTTATACAGCAGATTTGCTAAGCTTGTCTAGGGTTATTAGAAGGAGTCTTTAGCCTTAGAATAGCTGCCTAGTTGTCTGCAAAGACTTAGATCTCTTGTGTTGCTGTAGCTATAGAAGCTGCAAACCTAAAGGCTCTTATTATGCCTTCTAGCTCTCTATTATATACAATCTAGCCTTTGCTAATATTATATTTAGTAGAGTAGATCTCCTTAGCCTGCTGTTTATAGTCTAGAGCAGTAACTCCTATTCCTATTCCTGTGCCTTTCTTAATAGAAGAGGCGTCTGTATAGATAGCAAGTAGGTTGTCTCCTAGTCTCTGTAGCATTTGCGTTTTGTGTTGCTCTGCTTCTTCTTCTTTAGAGAGTTTAGAGATCTCTGCTGTGTATAATATAGTCTTGTTCCAGGGGCAGAAATAGTAGTCCTGCAGTTTTTCTTCTTCTGTGCTTGGAGTAGCGTTTTGTATTGATTGTATAATTCGCATAAGCTGAGTAGGTGGGCCTGTTCTTAGCCTTAGGAGAGCAGCTTCTTCCTCTTGTTCTGTGCTAGACTCTAAGTCTTCTCTTTGTAACTGTAGAGTAGCTTTTAGAGTCTTAATTACA